ATTTTTTCCGGGAATCAGCTTTGACTTTCGCCACTGCTTTCCCTGTAATAAAAGTGGTGTTGAAATAAAATTCGTCTGTCTGTAGACCGGTTTTCACTTCTTGACAGAGTGTTAGAGCTTTAAACCTTTATTCACACTGCAGTATTGCAGCATTTTACTACTACTATCGTTTATTAAGACTATTAGATTTTGTTGTACAAAATTTTGCCTCGTCTTGAATCTGCAATGCTGTGCTTCTTACCTAATCACTCAGTGATGAATCAGTAATCTGTGAAATAACGAAAATGTCGTTATGCAACATCATAGCCTCCGCCATTCGTCTCCAAGATAAGTTTCATAACACTGTGATCACTATTATCGGTTATCTGACTTGTTCTCGTTATGGTACACCATGAACGAAAGTTGACGCTTCACCAGTATCCTATGTTCTCTGCTTCCTCCTCCTCCGCTAGCTGAGTAAATGTGCCGACGGATCCTCCATGGATCCTGTGAACTATGTGCAAAGAAAATATCCGCTCGTTTCGATTTTGCATTAATTACGGTTTCTGGGTTCATCCAGCTTAATGCTTGAACATGGTGACGGTTCAGCAACTTGGATATTGAGGTTTCCACATAAAATATGGCAGAAATTTTAAATTGCACTTTGGTCGATTTGAACGCACAAGCCCTGCCGTTAAAGTGGTAAATCGCGCGGCGACTATATGATCGCCAGGTGCTAGTTATAGGCCATACGCGCTAACGCTTCGTCTGTTTAAACAGAACAGCGCGCCCTGCTCCGGTTTTACCGGTTTGCAACGTGCACTGTATTAATTAACTTTATTTCCATAAACAGCTAGATCAGGTAATCAGTTAGTTCGATCTTTTAGTGCTTTAAAAACTGATTCAACGCACAAATTTACAGTAATTTACTTTTCTCATTTGAGACACTTTGTCACTTGGTTTTGTCACTCATTTGTGACTTATTCTTACATCTACTTAGTAGCAGTTTTCCAGAGTCGGTAAATAATAATAATAATTGGAGGTATGGGTTTATCTGTCTTATGTCAATAGAATGAGCTGCTACAGATTCTGGAGCCCACGTCAGCAGACTGAGACAGATGTTGTTCCCTTTCCACTTGTCAATGACATCTGTCCGTGACTAAGGCCTCAAAAAGTACTGCACTGTTCTGAACCCGTAGGGCTGGATAAAGGTGAAGACACCAGTAATGTGACACGAGAACTGTCACCCAGACTGACCTGCAGGACAACTAACTACTTGAGTGCCAAAACAAAATCCGGGTTTATGCACATTCGAAACCAGTCCCATGGTCGTTTCCCACGCAGTTCCCTGAAGGCAGACAAAGCAGCACTTGTACAGAACAACTTGCCTAAGAAAATATAAGGTAAACCGGCCATGGTCAAGGGACAAAGTTCGTTGGCGCAAGGTCTTAGCGTTTACCTCAATCGATTAATGTTGATCTGTTTTTATATGCCAGGAGCATCTAGCGTCATAGCAGACTCTTTAAGCAGTTCATAACTCAAAACATTATGACACTTCTCCATGATCTATTTTCTTCAAAGAGCTCTTGCCGGTTTTCTGGAGACTTCTCTTTGAAACGCTACATCTTCTCTTCATCCGTGTAGAGGATCGATAGTGGTGCTTGGGGGGGGGGGCAAATCGTCGCTTAGCACAGTTTATCTTCTTGCAGAAATTACATTTTAACGGGATTAATGGTCTGTAGCTTTACAAAAACAACATCAACATCACATGGCATGCTACTGGTATGAACCTCTTCTATTATCTGTTCATGGACACGATATATGTTTGTTTAGTAGTTCATTCGTTTTTACAGTCTCTTATTCTGTTTCGGTTCAGGATGTTAGCAGTGTCGGTCGTATGGTTTTCCTAACTGTTCAAATTCTAGTCCCCTTAATATCTGGCGATGTTGTCGGGATAGATTTAAAAGGTACCAACAATCCCAGGCACCTTCTATGTATCAGGTTGGTAAAAGAGAAGAGCGAAAGTTTGTAATTGTTCGAATGTCAGTATTCGTCTTGATTTCATTATTTGGACCATAATGGAGCGATGTCAATTGCTACGAACCAGTCAGCCACCATATGTTGATGACTGGTGCTGCGTCAGAGTAAATAGCGTTAAGTCGAAACCTGCTAATGACCGGATTGGCTCCGTTGAGGCTGAGTCCTGTCCCTCTCCAGTTCATGTTGTCCATGTATAGAATAGTCAGACACATCCAGGGCGACGAGTGTATCAACGACGAAAAGACTGCTGTTGTTAGACACGATTTTGTTCATTGACATCTTCTGAAACTGATCTCCAGGGCTCAGAGAAAAAGTTCGCAGTCGAACGCAACGTCACCGGCATGCACGTGAAAATGTCTAAGTAGGACAGCCCGGTGCTTTCTCGTTTTCCTGCCCGTTGCTCTCTTCAGAATAAACGATGACGCACTAGAGCAGTTCAAGTTCCTCAGAGCCATGTTTACTGATGAGGAAAAATGTAAGCAAGAGATCGACTGGCGGATTGGAGTAGCTAGTGGTCGAACTGTTGTGACTAAACCAGAGCTGAGTCCGAAAACTAACCTCTAGGTGTTCTAGTTAATCTTCACCTCATGGTCGCCTAAGGTCATGAATCGTGGACTATGACTGAAAAACTTCGATCCCGGGTACAAACTGCTAAAATGGGCTTACTGAGACCAGTCGCTGGCCTCACGCGTCTGGACATGGTCCGGAATACAGAAATCCGCGAGATCCTTGCTGTACGGCGTCTGCTTCTCCAGATTGAGAAATCACAACTGCGATGGTTTGGCCATGTGTTGCGAAAGCCTCCAGAACGGAAGGCGAAACCGCTACTACTTGCTCAACCATTGACCGAACTAGGGACGGTCGAGAATGGCATGAGACAAATGACATCTGCAAGAACTCTACTTCAGAGTAAAGTTATCTTCTGCCGAAACTCAAACTACTCGCACAGAATCGCGAACATTAGAGAAGACACCGTTTGACGCGTCTACCTCCACAATCTAATGATAAATAGCACGTTTTTTCTGACATCAACCAGAGTACCTCACTGTTGCTTCTTAAGGCAATGTCCATTGCTCTTACGTGCATGCTCTTATTTTCCTCATACTAAATGATACTCATGTATCAATCTCAGAATGAAGATTGGCGAGTGACCCAATCGGGTTTCGAACCTCAGAATTCGGTTGCTTATGAGAAGCTCTGCCGACGAGACGAGCAATGCTGGTCCCTTACGGCTTAGTCGCTTGCTAGGTGACTTTGCGAAGACAGTTTGTATCGACGGTCTTTTCCCAGGTACCCTAATCGCGGTTATCTTCCATCTGGCTCTAAATGTATGGAATAACTCGTTACAGGTAGCTGCCATTACAGTTAATAGGCTTACATAAACTCTGAGATGGTCTCACGCCATAAAGCCTGACAGAACTAATCGTTATATCTGGAGTTTATCCAGTTCGGTGGATTTCTTTCCATCTGATCTAACATGATGGTTCGCGTCATGAAATTATTTCTCCGCTTATTTTGGCTTGTCTGTCCTCTTATGTAGTTATGTCCGCTACGTACTGAACGAACGCAATAAATATACTAAGTTATTGATCTTACTAAGCTTAATTGTGTCGCTTGCCGTTGGCAATATCAATTTGGAAGGTGGTATTGTTTACAGCACCTTCGACTTTCACGACATCACCAACGACGATGTAAACAAGTATCAGAAGAGGCAGAAAACAAATATCAACTTAACCTACTGTGGTTAAGAGTCTGGCTGGTATGTAGCCCAAACAGGCATATGCATGGTTGTAGATCTGACATGATTCAGTGGCCAAAAGAAGCTACAAGAACAATAATCAGCCAACACTACACGCGGGTAGAGCGTCGAACAATAATCGTTGTAATGCGTTCATGAATCCATGATCAACATGCCTTCCTTGAATAATGACACGTTGTTTCTCAACATCCCGATTCAGGGGTCGCAAGCACGTGTCCCCCTCCCCCCGCGCCCAATGTGTTGCACGGACAGAAACATGAAAACTCTGCACCTTTACTCAACGGAGCTTATGAGACTGTGTGAGTCCGCGGATTCATACCGTTGCAAGCCATTTTCCTCAAAGCAATGTCTACAGGTTGGGGCGACAGCAGCGTGTAGTCTCCCGCTTTTTACACATGAAATAATGCTCGTATTTTACTTCAGAAGAATGAAAGTCGAGTTGCCAAGGCTGGTATTTGAACCCACGATCTGTCGGACGACCGTATCACCGTAACCAGCTGCTGCGCATACACGCAAGATGAGGTGGAAACGGATA